CCAAGCTCCATTAAATCTTGGGCTGACATAGAGAAGTTATTCTTGGCTCGCTTCTTCGATGATGACACTGAGGTGTCAATGTTCACTCTATTAGGTGAAAAGTAGAGAAAAGAGGAGCTTGTTAATGACTTCGCGAAGAGCTTTACAAATCGGTCGCTACATTACCATGATCAAGTTTCTGAAAATACATTGATTGAGATATGCCACAACAATCTCTCGATTCATATTTTATCCAAGATTAGAGCGGTAGAGACCCAAACTTGGAATGAGCTTGTTCGCCAATGTGAATAGGTAGAAAACATGCTCAATAGGTTAGATGCCGAGGAGCCGTATGAATCTCGAAGAGGGGGTAACCAAGGCAACTTTACTTCTCAGACCCATTTAAAAGGGAAGGATACTTTGACAGTAGAGACTACTTCCTCCCCTAAATCTTCTTCGAAGCAGAAGGGCAATTCTTCGGAAAACCACTTTCAAAAGAAGTACGACTTCAAGGATGAGAAAGTCATCCCTCCAAACATCCCCACCAATCCTCTTCAAAAGGATAACGGGTCCACAAAATACTATCATGTTAATGATTACCTCTGATAGATAATTCTCTTCAAAACTATCACGTTAACAATTATCTCTGATAGTCAATTCTTCAACCTTTATTGAAAACACTCTGTCAAGTAGTGGTCTACCATGTGATGAAACTCTACTAATTATTCAATCAGGATAGTGATCTAACATGTGATGATTCATTATCTAATCTTTTCCGAACATTCTATCTCTTTAGAGTGATCGAAGATAGTGGTCTACCATGTGATGTGCCTTTATCCCAATCACAGTCGTTATACTTCCATGTCACTGAACAACATGATTATTTCCACACTATCATTCTTGTAAATAATATTGCTAGTGGCCTACCATGTGATGTGCTACTATTCCAATCACAATCGTTATACTCCCATGTCACTGAACGACTTGATTATTTTTGCATTGTCATTCTTGCAAGTGACGTTATCAAAGATAAGGGCCTACCATGTGATGTACCTCTATTTCAATTACAGTCATTATACTCCTATGTCACTGAACGACTTGACTATTTTCACACCGTCATTCCTAGATAGTGGCCTATCAGGCGATGCACCCCTATTTATCTCCTTATTCCCAAATAGTGACCTACCAAGCGATGAGTTACTATTCTCATATGAGATCGTTATTGTGTTAGTGATGCCATCATACTTCTTAAAATAAGAGGCCTACCAAGCGATGAGCCTCATTTTCAAATTTCTAGGTTAAGTGTTACATTGAACGGCACAACCAAACTTGACTAGAATTTAATCGTTGTGATCACATTCAACTCTTAATCCAATACCTTAAATGGCGAAGGATAGAGGAGAAATCTTAGCATTAAGCCTAAGAGAAACTCCCCGATAACTTATCATGCAAAGGTTAAAAACATGGCTAGTCCAACTCAAACGATAGTTGATAAAGACACATCAAGTCCGTGATAGCTGAGTGTTTGCTAAACATCCTAAGTCATGGTTATTGATTGTGCCAAAAAAGTTTAAAGTATTTCAGACCCTATGCAACCCAATTTGGGAATGAAAACTTTGATGGGGTTTTGTAGGCAAGTAAAATTACCTCTATCTCTAACAAAGGAAGTGTTTTTTGACATAAACGAGTTGTACAACAAGACACGACAACTTGGAACAAGCAAAGAAGCTCAAAGGTTCGCCTGATTATACTTAAGTTCGCTTGAAGACTGAACTTCGCCTACAAGTTGAACTTTGCCTGAAGTTTGCCTGCAAAGATCTAAGTTCACCTGAAGGTTGAACCTCACCTGAAAGCTGAACTTTGCCTACAAACATTCTTAAGAGTAGTTCCTAAGTTAAACAAGACTAGTCATTCATCAAAAGTAAATGGATTTAACAAGTATGTTAGAAGTGAGAATCACAAAATACCACGTACACCCCTGATCTTATGAAATGAGATCTCACAATGTAATTTTTAGATTTATGACCCAAAATGTTCAGTGTCATGATAAGTTGTTCTTCCACTATTATATTCCTTGAGTCTTTTAGCGGCCTATTGTTCCTCATTATACTTGTTAGTTTAACAAAATCAACACTCTACATTCTAATGTAGTTTACACAACTATCACTTAAACCATTATAAATACGCTCTATGTGTTCAATTCTAGCTCTCTTATTTTCTTTTTTCCTCACTTGGACCACTACGAATTAATTTACGTCTAGCTTGCATTCTCCTTATGAATGTAAATATTTTAACAAAAATAGATACTGGAGCATCTTGAACCATATTAACAACACTTTGTTCATCGATACAATCCCCATCACCATTCATCTACGATACAAACATCAAATTGAAATAATTAATTTACCTAGCAAGCATCCATATGCAATGTCAATAATCAAAACTTTTATTCCTATAGCAAGCATTGGATGTTAAAGAAGAAAATTTTAAGAGGCAAAAGTTCAAGCATAAGAGGCAAAAGTTACATGCAAATCAACTATGTGGTCTCATGGGAAACCATGTAGCCAACTATTAAATTAAATTCAAAAATAAATGTAGTGCAACCTTTCAAGCCTTCTATTGTTTCATTGACTGCATGACCGCGTAATGTATGCATATATGCAAGGAGTGCACAAGGAGTTTTGATACGGGTATGTGTCGGGTATGGGTTCAGCTTTAGATAGAAATACTTAGGTAACACAGGTATTCAGCCTTATCTAGTCTACCTAACAAAGGAAAGAACAAGAATATCATAACCAATCAAATCGGTGCAGTTTAAAATCATTTACATTGGTACATATATTGTACTTTTTGCTTAATTTTTTAGATGTGGAATAATAATCTTGCAACATTGCTATCTATAAACAGCATGTTGGCATATGTTGGAACCCTCAAGGGCTGAAAAACATTATCCACTTAGAAACTAAGTAGAATTCTAACAAAACCTGAATGAATTGCAATTTACAAAAATTAATAACAAACCAACAAGATTACAAACTGATATATTTTCAATGATACATATACTAGTACATGATTCAGAACCTGCTTGTCTAGCATGGCATTTTTTATCCCCATTGGCCCAGAATCAACAGATTGATGCTTATGTATTACAATATGACATGGAACCTTCTTTATGTAGCAATTGTGTTTGTACATGTGTATTGTGGCAAATTTAATATAACTCAGAAATCGAACAATTTGCAAATTGAAGATGTGTGAACATTCATATGATATTTGAACAAATTATTAGAATTCTAGATCTCAACATCAAACCAAAAAACAGGTGATCACCTCAATCAAGCCAATTCAGGAATTTCGGGTAAAAACCAATTCATCCTGCAAATGATCAAAATAACCCCTTCTTCCTCCTCTAATCGAATACAATTCATCATCACCCTAACCACAAAGTCATAAATTTAAAGAAAAGTATTAGAGTTTAGGAACTCACTAGCAATTAACAGCGATAAAGAAGCCGACGAATAAGGCGAAAGCCGAAGACGGCGAACAAGAAAACCTGTTACGAAGAAGCCGATGAAAAAGGCCGCGGGAAATTTCTGGCGGGGAGAGAATGGGGGTAGGTAACCCTAGCCTTCTCTTTCTTCCCCAAAAAAAGCAATGAGAGAAAACGAAAGAGAAATTGTCAAAGGCGGCTAGGGTTTCTAGCGATTTACGCTTGTTTTGAGCGGAAATGGATGATTTTTTTTTTTTGCTGATGTGTGAGGAGTTACCCAACTCATTTCCTTGCAAATCAAACCCGAGAAAATAAACGTAAAAACTGGTTTTGGCCCATGTGGAGGGGGCTATCAGAGTTGAAATAGATTTGCTTAGCCCAATTTAACGAACCAAACACCCCCTTAAAAAAGACTAATAAAAAGGCTCCATGACTATATAGTCGTATAAACTTTGATGTAGAGGCATCAACACTTTCACCTCTCTTGTGAGAAGAATCAAGTGGATGACGTTTAGAGCATAACAAGGTACAAAATTCGGCAAATGTGCTGCCACCACCATGTCTTTGCCAATTAAAAGAGAGAAATTAAAAAGAATAAAGAATAAAAAGCCAAAAACTCTAAGCTCTATAGGGTCCTCTCCTCCTATATAGGCCTCTTCTCTACAGCGACTGTACCAACCAACCATAGTAAAGAGCAGGAGGCAATAGGTGGGACCCAACCTTCCTTCATTGGTTACCATTAAATGTCACTTCAGTCCTTTTTCGTTGCCCCATCTATGGACTTGGACCGTCTAGATTGTTTCATGGCTACTTGTAGTTGTGGTGTGATATCCAACGCACTGTTCATTTGTCAATGTAGATTCACCCAAAGAAGGAAAAATCCCGCGCTTGATTTAAGCTAAAAATTTCGGGGGGGAGGGGGGTTATTCATCGGAGTAATTTGGAGTAAATTGGGTTAAGTGGTTACAATGGGATAATTTTATCCAATGGGATAATTTAAGTAGGATAAAGTATGGTAAAATGGGATAATAGGACAATTTGAGTGGGACAATTGGTATGACATCTTTTTATAATATTATTTGTATAGCTTAATTAAGTTCAAGTTTAACTTGATATAACATCAAATGATTAAATAAATAATAGTTATAATATATAATAATATTATTTTTTAAGATTATTTTAATATAAAATATTAAAAATAGTTATAATATATAATAATATTAATAATATTAATATTAATCAATCTTTAAATATTTTGATGTTTATTTTAACTATTATGCTATATTAACAAAATTTTTAATTGCAACAATTATTTAATCATTCATACATCTATTACAATGATGATGATAAAGTCTCAATTATTACAAATAAAGTCTCAGTCGGTAACTTAAATCTTAATTATTACAAATATAATCTACCGGCATATAACTTTGCTCTAGACTCCTTGGGCTACGTTTGTCCCATCCTCCCACATTGTGTTTGCCATTTGTTCTCTCTAACGTGATGCAGCTGTCCGTTATGCTTGTTGAGTTTATAGGTCATCGTCCTCATCAGAATCACCATCAATCAAAGCAACATTGCGTGGTGCCTCTGGAGGAAGATCGGAAACTTCAAAGTCATCGTTGGAGTTCTCCATCTTCAGAAAATTATGCAGACCGATACATGCCCAGATCATACTTTTTGAGTGTCATATGGAAAACCTAGAGGTTGAGACTTAAAAATAGTAAACCTAGACTTAAAAATGCCAAAAATACGTTCAATACAATTTCTAAGTGATGCATGTCGATGGTTGAATAACTCATGAGCATTGCGTGGTCGTTGACGGTTGTTAGCTGGGCCAAACTCTTTAAGGTGGTACCTCGTACCCCGATAGGGAGCCAAAAATTGTAGCCTATTTGGGTAACCACAATCAACTAGATAAAATTTACCTGCATTAACATTTATTTAGAATTATAATCAATAAATATAAAATCTAACAATTTGATAAAAAAAATATTTACCATTTGGAAGTGGAAGACTGCATGCACTTCTACTCATTGCATCCTTCAAGACCCGTGAATCATTGGCAGATCCCTCCCATCCCACTAAGACATAAATAAACCTAAGATCAAATGTACATGTTGCAAGGATATTTTGAGAAAGATAGCCATGTCTATTACAATATGGAGTTTGGTCCTCGCCATACACCATACGTGGAATGTGGGTCTCGTCAATAGTACCGATACAGTCCTATATATTCCCATTAGCATATATGAAATGTGACTTTAAAATTATAATAATAACAATGAATGAAGACTTATATAATGTATTTAAATTTCAATACCTTGAAATAAGGCCAAAAACGAGATTCAGATGTGACCTTTTCCGGTGGATCGGTAGGAGGAGGAGCCATCATACAAGGGGCTAATGACACAAGGGCCTGTAGTGCCTTATTGAAACAAACACTGACAACAAATCGGGATCGATCAAACCTCTCAGTGGTGATGCAATATCGTTGATTTTGAGTAATAGTGAGTAGGAAAATAGCAACCATCTCCTCAACGCTGATATACCGTGTATCTTGTAAATGCCCACGTTCTCGCAAGACCATACACAATTTCATAAAGCAATCCGGATACATACGATATATTCGACGAAAATCACGTGGATTGCTCTCCATCTTAGATTTCAAATATTGAAGGTCATGGTCCGTAATGCCATGTCTGAGTTGGGAAATGAGTAGATTTATTTTCCTCTTGTGATATGAGGTGCGAGATACTCATGACTAGACCTCCTATTTGTGCAACCATGTTGATAATACAAATGAGGAGATAATCAGCAGTATCCTCATGAAATAGCAAAATAGAGACATGCTGATTATCTTCCATCCTGTATTAATCATGAAAATAAAAAATAGTAAGATTTTCAATACAAGATATTCACCAAATCACATTTTTATGTTTAGAGATGAGCATATCATGCAACTATCCAAAGCATTCATAATTTTCCCATCACTATAAGAATTCCATCACACAACCAGTAATCAAGCCACGGGACTCCCTGTAACACAAACTATCCAATGCAAATTAGATATAAAACAGAACATGTACATGTGCAAAATACAAAACATTCTGATTATAAATCAGAACATGTACATGTGCTTGACATCAACTCCAAAAGATAATGCAAACAACTATCCAAAAGCATTCATGTGCTTAACATAAAAGTCCAAAAGCATATAACTAACATATATGTTCCCAAAAGCATATAACATAATAGTCATTAATAAGCATAGTGATTGTCGTCATTTGGAAATACTCCAGTCAGACGCCAAATCATAAACATTCTCCTTTGATCATCATTCATCTTCACAAACATATCCTTCACGTCTTTGGAAATATTTTGACTAAGGACAGTCAATCGTTCTTCATCGGTAAATTCTGGAATTGAAGCCACTCCCTCGACCCACGGTTGGTTGCGGCTTCGCAACAACCTCACCTCTGTGACTAACTCTTGTAAAGCCTTACTTATAATTGTAATTTCACTCATCATTTCTTGCATAGCGGGTTGAGACAATGCAGAGGCGGTGGTGTGGGAAGGTGCTCTACGAATATTTCTGCTAGTGCTAGAGGTCGATGGTACAGATTCAGCCACGGGAGTGGTAGGGCCTGGAGTGCAATTAGGGGGAGGTGGTAGAGGATCTACTGGTGGTTGGGTAGGTTCTGCTTCACCCATAGTATCAAGTCCAATGTCATCATCCAATATACCCTCACCCAATGCATTATGTAATGGCGCACTCTCTACCCCCTCACAACCTAAGCCTTCAGCTGCTCTCCCACTAGCTGAGTGGCTACCCACCACCATCTGCATATTTTCTAAATTTTCAAACAACTTATCTTTAAGCATTGGTGTATTAGGATGAGCCTGTTAAAAAAAGATAACAAATTAATTTTTTTTTCTTTTTTTGTAATTAGCAAACATAACAATATATTATGTAGTTAGAAACTTTGGGTAATTAAGAATCTAACATGTTTGTAATTTTCCCACACCTCAACGGAGCAAGTAATTCTCTGAGATATTGGGTCCCAACCAAACCCGGAATTGTTCCTCAATAGTAATTCATTGGTTCAATCTTCCTCTTCTAACTTTTGATCTTATTCTTTACATGATCAAATTTAAAAGTTCTTCTAAATTTAGCATTCATGAGTGGCAACACGTTTTGAGTGATGGTATATTTCTTGAAGTTGCCATTATCCATCTTATTGCCATTCTTAACCTCCTCCACTAAAAGTCTCAGTAGCTCTCAATTCTCTTGCTCTGACCATATTACATAGTCACACCTAGCTTTTTAGCCCTCTCTCCGTCTTGAGAGTACTCTTCCATAGTTTGAGATTCCGAAGTAAAATTCATCCTACAATGCAAGAGGAATCACTTATAACAAACAACTTTAACACTTATAACAACATTTATATTCATGATAACAAATAACTTTCAGACTGTAACAATCATGCAAAACAGAGGGATCACTTATAACAAGATGTAAAGATGGTTATCTAATATTAGATATAACATCATGTTCACCCATCTTCTTTTCTGAGAACCTAGTTATCTATATGATGGGGGGGGGGGGGGCTGTCCTGTTCTGAGAGAAACAGACCATATACCATTATGCAAACATATTAATATCCACACCCTTTTTCATCCACATCCGCATCTGAAAAAGCTATGTACCATGTGCCTATATTCAGAATATTTGATTATTTTTCAAGATTATGTACAAATATTCCATTTATTGAGATGAATATACTTTCTGTTCTTGTGGTGCTGTGATTTTTAATGTTGTGGTTACTCAACTATTGTCAATAAAACACTTTACAAACATAGTTACTCCAACATTTTGGCAACTCAAAAGCATGTATTTAATAATAATTAACATTGATATAATACATAAAATTCATTAGTGCAAGAAAATTACAATGACTGCTTACACACTTTGATATGGAACAGTCTTGACAGCTCTGACCTCCTCGTCGGAGTCTGAATTCTCCTTGTCTTCATCGGATTTTATAGGTTTCCTCTTTGACCACGCCAAAGAATCAACCTTCTTGTCGCCTCCGTGGATGAGATCGACGAGCTTCGTGAGAGTCGAACTGATTGTCTCGATCTATTTCTCCATCGCATAAGCCTTGTTGAATTGTCGATAGCCGCCATCTTCTTCTTTCTTGATTTATGGACTTCTTCCAAAAAATAAGAATCTCACCTAGTTTTTTGTGTTGCGATCGAGTAAGGCCATACAGAGGATACCCCTCCTTAGGATCTGATTTGCTCTGATACTAACATGGTACAAGTCGCCGTGCGAGTACCTTTGATCGCGGAATTATCAAATGTATATTTTGTGAAGAAAATAGCAAAACGTACGAACAAATTTAATTTGGCGAAGGAAAATATCTTCTCTAGATTATGAAGAATAAAAGATTACAAATCTCTTTCTCATAATCTTTCTAGAATAAAGAACAATCTCTCTATCCCTTCAAAACTCTAATCTGATCTTTGAAAACCCTAAACAACCTCTATTTGTATGTTAAACAATATGGGTGGCAAAATGGTAAATATCCAAGACAAACCCAAATAGGATTCACCCAAAATAGAAAACCAGATCAGCACAGGAAACCCGCTATCGGTCGACTGATGGTTGCTCATCAATCGACTAGTAGTGCTTCTGTTGCGCGCCTTTGCGGAAGCGTGCTCGCACACCAAACGAGTTCACAAGTCATGGGAGAAGATAACCAAAATAAATACGAGCATAATTCAATCCAAATACGAAAAATCAAACCAAACACAGAGATAAACATGGTTTGACAATTTGCATACGTCCACGAAGAGAGGATGGGGAGATTCCACTAAATCAAGGAGAGTACAAATGGTTACAATCTCACAAAATCACTCACACAAACCCTAAATCAAATCTCTCAACTTGCTCATAAGTTCTCCCTCTCAAAGTGCTCAATACAATCTAAAATATCTAATTCTCACTCCTCAGAAACCCTAGAAAATCATGTTTAAATATATATCAAAACACAAACTCAATACGAACAGAAAACCAAATTCAGGCCCAGCCCAAATCATCCGGCTCGACGCCAAAAAACCACCGCGCAGTCGACCGAACCACAACGACAGAAACCAATTTTCATTACAGGGTTTGACCGGTCGACCACTACGCCACTCGTGTTCAACCGAGAAAAGTCCAGAAACTTTCCATGTCTTGTGCACATTCGTGGTCGACCATCGCGCCACTCGCGGTCGACCGCCGGGCCACTCGCGGTCAGCCGTTGGGTGATCAAATTATTTTCTACTGTAATTCCTATATTCTATTCAATTCTCCACCTTGGTGAAGCTTTCCCAAAACTGAGCTGACACCAAACAAAGAGCACCAATGTGTCGTCTCTCCAAACTCGACTACACTAATATGGTTGCCTATGTATCCCCTCTCCTAAGGGATCAAGTCGTCCGTAGATCATCTAAATGGCCGTCAACGGCCTCAAAAATCACTAATGCACAATAAGTTTCGATAATGATCAAACTTGTTGCTCAGAACCATCTTAGTGAGCATATTCGCTGGATTATCTTTTGTGTGGACTGTCACAATATCCACATCGTCATCTTCAAGAATAGTTTGAACAAAGTGATAACGAATGTCAATGTGCTTCGTCCACACATAAAAAACCTAATTCTACGCTAAATAGATAGTACTCATGCTATCACAATGAATAGTAACAGACCGTTGTGATATATCAAGTTCCTCTAAAAGTCCCCGAAGCCAAATAGCCTCCTTCACAGCCTCCGTAATCGTCATATACTCTACCTCCATCGTTAACAAAGCTACCGTAGACTGTAAGGTGCATCTCCAACACACCGCGCACGGGTCAAAGTGAATACATACCCCATAGTAGATCGACACTTATCCAAATCTTCGGCATAATCCGAATCAACATAGCTAATACACAACTACCCACCTCTAGTGTCCCACTCATAAACCAAACCAACACTGAGCGTACCTCTAATGTACCTCAAAATCCATCTCACGGTATCCCAATGACCCACTTCTGGATCGTGCATTTATCTCAAAACCATGCTCATCACCTGTGACAAATTCGGCCTCGTACATATCATCGCGTACATTAAGCTCCCAATCGCGCTCGCATATGGAGTCTTCAATATTAACTCTCTATCTTCAACTGTCTTTGGTGAAAGGTCAGCTGAAAGCTTTAAATGGGCTCCCAAAGGTATACTAACTGGCTTGGTATCCATGCTAATATTAAACCACTGTCGAACTTTCTTCAAGTAAGCTACCTGTGTTAAACAAATTATGTCATTCTCTTTGTCTCTATCGATCTCCATCCCTAAAATACGCTTATCCTTACCTAAATCCTTCATCTCAAATTCATTTGAGAGCTGAATCTTCAACTTATCTATAACAGACATGGAAATAGAGGCAACCAACATGTCATCAATATAAAATAACAAATAAATGTACGCACCTCTTTTCAACTTATGAAAATACACGTAAGGATCAAACTGACTCCGAGTGTATGAATGACCAATCATAAATCCATCGAATCACTTATACCACTATCGAGGAGACTGCTTCAAACCGTATAGCGATTTCTTTAACCTGCAAAC